ATGGATAATAAACATATGAACAGATTTTCAACATCAGTAGCCACTACAGAAAATGTAAATTAAAACCACAATAAGGTATTACTACACACCTATCAGAACTGCTAAAATGAAAATACTAACACCACCAAATGCTAGTGAGGATGTGGAGAAATTAGAACAGTCATACACTGCCACTAGGAATGTAAAATGACACTATCAGTCTAGTAAACAGGTTGGCAGTTTCTTAAACCATAAACAGGCAACTACCATACGACCCGGAAACTCATGGATATTTACTCCAGAGAAATGATAACTTACAATGATATTATGATTAATAAGATATATACATTTTGGTCTTAATCCATGGTTCCTAGCACACAGCTCCAAAATTCCCATAATTTCCTAACTGACATAGAGCAAAGGTATAAAAATGATATGAACTTAAGAAAAGCAGAAGATATTAAGAAGACATGGCAAGAATACACAGAAGAACTATACAAAAAACATCTTAATGACCTCGATAACCATGATGTTGTAGTCACTCACCTAGAGCCAGACATACTGGAGTGTGAAGTCAGGTGGGCCTTAGCAGGCATTACTATAAACAAAGCTAGTGGAGGTAAAAGTTTTTCAGCTGAGCTATTTCAAATCCTAAAAGATGATTCTGTTCAAGTGCTGCATTCAATATGCCAGCAAAATCATAAAACTCAGCAGTGGCCACAGGACTGGAAAAGGGCAGTTTTCATTCCAATCCCGATAAAGGGCAATGCCAAAGAATGTTCCAACTACCACACAACTGAGCTCATTTTACATGCAGCAAGGTAATGCTCAAAATTCTTCAAGCTAGGCTTCAACAGTATGTGAACCATGAACTTGCAGATGTTAAAGCTGGATTTAGNAGAAATGCCTGTGAACTTTATGAAAGAAGATTGTGAATATACCATGTCAAGAAGAAAAATTTGTTATCATGTTAGCCTCTAGAAAATTTAAAATTCAGTTCAGAAAAACATACTGTGACCAGCCATTATTTTTTTAATGCCACACATGTAGACTTATCATAATGGCATTATCACAGTATTGATGATGCTTCAGATATATTGTAAAGCCTGTATTTCAGCTCTTAAATAAAATATAAGCATGTTAAACACTTTATTTAGATACTGATAGTAACACTGGTGTATGGTGACTGAAAAAGTAAAACATGAAAACAGTGACTAATGTATCCAAAAAGCAATGTTTCCCATTGTTGTGAGAGTTGCTAATTATACAGCTATTACCTCATATATACATACATTGGTGTCACAATTTCTCTGAGGTGTTTCTATATTCTGCAAGCTACATATTAAATATTATTTCCATTCATATATTCATTTAGTTTCCTTTAGGAGAGGATGATTGTTATATATTAATGTGATTTAGGTTGCTCCAGTGTTTAGACTTGAAAGCTACCTTCCTTGTTTCTTAAAGACCTAGATATAAAAGAAAATGGAAAATAAAAATTAAAAAAAAAGAAGCAACAGTTAGAACCAGACACGGAACAACAGACTGGTTCCAAATCAGGAAAGGTGTATTGTCACTCTGCTTATTTAACTTATATGCAGAGTACATCATGAGAAGTGTCAGCCTGGATGAAGCACAAGCTGGAATCAAAATTGCCAGGAGAAATATCAACAATTCAGATATGCAGATATCACCACCCTTATGGCAGAAAGTGAAGAAGAACTAAAGAGCCTCTTGTTGAAAGTGAAAGAGGAGAGCGAAAAAGTTGGCTTAAAGCTCAACATTCAGAAAACTAAGATCATGGCATCCGGTCCCATCACTTCATGGCAAATAGATGGGGAAACAATGGAAAAAGTGACTGACTTTATTTTTTTGGGCTCCAAAATCACTGCAGACGGTGACTGCAGCCATGAAATTAAAAGACGCTTGCTCCTTGGAAAAAAGGCTATGACAAACCTAGACAGCGTATTAAAAAGCAGAAATATCACTTTGCCGACAAAGGTCAGTATAGTCAAAGCTATGGTTTTTCCATAGCCATGTACGGATGTGAGAGTTGGACCATAAAGAAGCCTAAGTGCCGAAGAATTGATGCTTTCGAGCTGTGGTATTGAAGAAGGCTCTTGAGAGTCCTGTGGACAGCAAGGAGATCAAACCAGTCAATCCTAAAGGAAGCTACCTCAATATTCACTGAAAGAACTGATGCTGAAGCTCCAATAGCTCGGCCACCTGATGCAAGGAGCCAACTCACTGGAAAAGACCATGATACTGGAAGAGATTGAGGGCAAGAGAAGGTGGCAATAGAGGATAAGATGGTTGGATGGCATCAAACTCATCAAACTCAAAGGACATGACTTTAAGCAAACTCAGGGACATGGTGGAGGCCAGGGGAGCCTGGTGTTCTACAGTACACGGGGTTGCAAAGTCATGACTGAGTGACTAAACAACAACGAATGATGCCTCCATTAGAACCTCTGAAGAAAGGCATCTGGATGCTTCCAGGCTGGTGAGCATACGGAGGTGCTGGGAGAATGAGAGGCCTGGAGAGGAACAGAAGCTCCATGCCTCCCCTAAGTCCTGCCCTGTGCACCTCTTCTATCCAGCTGTTCCTGAGTTGTGTCCCTTCATAATAAACTAGCACTCTCTTAAGTAACTTCCTTCCTGAGTTCCGCAAGCTGTTCTAGCAAATTACTGAACCCAAGGAAGGGATCATGAGAACTTCCGTCTTTTGACTTACAGCCGGTTCTCAGAAGCACAGGTGACAACCTGGCCTTGAGAGTGGCGTCTGAGATGGGAGCAGTCCCGTGCGAGCTGACAGCCAACTCCAGGCAGATGGTGTCAGAGCTGAGTTAAACTGCAGAACAACACTGGTCTGAACCAGAGGACTGCTTGGTGGGGAAAAACACCACTGATCTATTCAGAAGAATTCTGAGTGTTCAGAGAGAAAAACAGTGAGTAGTTTTTTCTTATAAGCTGACACCAAAACCTGTGAATCAATGTATGCAGCAGTTTTATTCAGAGCCAAAAACTGGAAGCCACTTGAAACAAACTATGGTATATCCATACCATGTAATACTAGTGAGTAATAAAAAGGAGCAAACTATTGATACATTAAACAACTTGAATGAATCTTCAGACAATTAAAATAAGTGAGAAGTACCAATCCCAAAATGTCCTTTGTTATGATTCCATTTATAGAACATTCTTAAGATGACAAAATTATGTAAACAGAGAACAGGCTAGTGGTTGGTAGGAGTTAAGAAGTGGGTGTGACTACAGAAGGGAAACAGGAAGGATCCCTGGGTGATAGAATTGTTCTGTTTCTTCACTGTATCAATGTCAACATCCTGATGGTCATATTGTACTCATCCTGTTACATGCTACCAACTGGGAGAAACTGGGAAGAGGGTACAAAGGGTCTGTCTCTGAATATTTTTCTTAAAATTATGTATGATCTATAAGCATTTCAACATTTTAAAAGTCTACTCCCTTTTTTTCACATACATAAGAAAGCATAAACAGATGAACATAAAGTTAACAAAGAATTACAAGTAAAAATAGTTTTTCCCCCTCCTGCTTCAATGTCTACCTTTTAACTGTGTGCTAACTACATGATGGACTTTTCACTCTCTTGCAACTGCTGAATCTTTCATATAGAAGAGTAAACATAAGAATAAAAAACATGCTGTGATTATACATAACGTAATCTCTTTACCAACGTTCCCTGGAAACGTCCTGGCTTCTTATACCATGCTTTGTTGCCTTCCTCTTCACAGACACACAGATGATCCATAAGTCCATTACTATATAGAAAGCATTTTCCTAACAAAGAAGATTACAACGGTCAACAATTATTTCACAAAAAAAAACACAAAAAACAAAACAAACAAACAAAAAAAAACAATTATTTCACACAAGTGTATTATTTTTATAGATGCTCAAAATAAAAATACAAGGAGCAGCGTGAACAAGGCACAATTTTGTCTTCACCTTTTAGGATGAAACAAACAATCTGATTTGTTTACTGACAGCACTGGGCTTGAAACTCACAGTGGTGAAAAGCAATTGAATAAATTACTGAATTCTGTTTGCAGGACTATAGTCAAAAAATTTACACAGAAAAAAATTCTCTTCAGTTATCCAAGGGAATGGTGAGGGAAGATAAGAGGAAAACCTCTTTTGAAAAGACAGTATGGGTGTGCCTCTTCTCTATCTGATCAGAAGAAAACTCTGTGGTATGTAAGGGAAATTCAGACCAAAATACATTATGAAACAATGCATATCTGAACCTTAAAAGAGCTCATTACAAGGAAAAACTTTTATTAACTATATGAGGTGATGAATTCTGGCTAAATTTACTGTGGCAATCATTTTTCAACATGTACACATATGAAATCGTTATACTGTGCTCCTAAAACACTATGCTCTATTGAATGAATCTTCAGACAATTAAAATAAGTGAGAAGTACCAATCCCAAAATGTCCTTTGTTATGATTCCATTTATAGAACATTCTTAAGATGACAAAATTATGTAAACAGAGAACAGGCTAGTGGTTGGTAGGAGTTAAGAAGTGGGTGTGACTACAGAAGGGAAACAGGAAGGATCCCTGGGTGATAGAATTGTTCTGTTTCTTCACTGTATCAATGTCAACATCCTGATGGTCATATTGTACTCATCCTGTTACATGCTACCAACTGGGAGAAACTGGGAAGAGGGTACAAAGGGTCTGTCTCTGAATATTTTTCTTAAAATTATGTATGATCTATAAGCATTTCAACATTTTAAAAGTCTACTCCCTTTTTTTCACATACATAAGAAAGCATAAACAGATGAACATAAAGTTAACAAAGAATTACAAGTAAAAATAGTTTTTCCCCCTCCTGCTTCAATGTCTACCTTTTAACTGTGTGCTAACTACATGATGGACTTTTCACTCTCTTGCAACTGCTGAATCTTTCATATAGAAGAGTAAACATAAGAATAAAAAACATGCTGTGATTATACATAACGTAATCTCTTTACCAACGTTCCCTGGAAACGTCCTGGCTTCTTATACCATGCTTTGTTGCCTTCCTCTTCACAGACACACAGATGATCCATAAGTCCATTACTATATAGAAAGCATTTTCCTAACAAAGAAGATTACAACGGTCAACAATTATTTCACAAAAAAAAACACAAAAAACAAAACAAACAAACAAAAAAAAACAATTATTTCACACAAGTGTATTATTTTTATAGATGCTCAAAATAAAAATACAAGGAGCAGCGTGAACAAGGCACAATTTTGTCTTCACCTTTTAGGATGAAACAAACAATCTGATTTGTTTACTGACAGCACTGGGCTTGAAACTCACAGTGGTGAAAAGCAATTGAATAAATTACTGAATTCTGTTTGCAGAACTATAGTCAAAAAATTTACACAGAAAAAAATTCTCTTCAGTTATCCAAGGGAATGGTGAGGGAAGATAAGAGGAAAACCTCTTTTGAAAAGACAGTATGGGTGTGCCTCTTCTCTATCTGATCAGAAGAAAACTCTGTGGTATGTAAGGGAAATTCAGACCAAAATACATTATGAAACAATGCATATCTGAACCTTAAAAGAGCTCATTACAAGGAAAAACTTTTATTAACTATATGAGGTGATGAATTCTGGCTAAATTTACTGTGGCAATCATTTTTCAACATGTACACATATGAAATCGTTATACTGTGCTCCTAAAACACTATGCTCTATATCAGTCACACCCCAGCTGAAACAGCACTTGTGGACAGCGTGCTCTCACGACCTGGGCCCCTGTGAGCAGCGCGCGCTTCGCCCTCCCCTGCGCTCCCTGCCCGACCCAGACTGGCCAGCCCCCTCATCAGTGACCACAACTCTTTCTGGTGGCTCCGTCCCACTGTCGGATTCATTCTTGCTCCCGTGACTGTCTTCTCCATTTGACCAGATGTGATTCTGTCAGTCTCATAATACACTGGTCTACCTCTAAAACATAGGAAACTACTCTGCTCTTCATCCCTTCCTACCATCCTATCCTTTCATCCACCCGAATATCTGTTGTTCATTCTGTCTCCCTGATATGCATTCAACAGAGTGGCATTTATGTATGAGCTTTTTTACAGTCTGTTTTCTGCTATTTATATATGTTTGAAACAACATTATCTTTATAAAAACTGCAAAATATGGATCAAGGAATTGTTATTTTGCCTATCTAATAACAACATATAACTATTCTTCTCAAAGTCCACATAAGCTATAATGTCCAGCAATTAACCAAGCTGCTTGATAAAATATTGAATTTCCTATTACTATTCAAGCAACAATTAGATGCCTATTGGAGGAATACTATAGGATGGGCACAGCTCTTGGACTAAAGTAGGAAGCTAGATTCAAGGTCCCTTATAAGTAAAATTCTGTTCTTATTTGTGAGGCATAAACTGAAATACAAAATTGTCCTCTCCATTTGTTAGTAGGTTCATGGAAGTGTTATATGTGTTATATGTATACACACATATACACACAGGCTGCTGACCCTTGAACAACATGAGTCTGAACTGTGAGGGTCTACTTATACAGACTGTTTTCAACAGTAAATACTACAGGGTTACATGATCTGCAGGTGGCTGAATCCAAGGATGAGGAATTGCAAAAACAGAGGAATTATGGACACTGAGGGCCAACTATAAATTATAGGCAGATTTTCAGCTACACCAATGGTGGGCAACATTAACCTCCTCATTCTTCAAGGGTCAACTGTACTTGTTTTCTGCCTAGACTTCATCAGGTACAACTAAGAAACGAGGAAAATGTTTCCACATGAGGATAAAGGCACCAGTTTTCAAAAACTGGCAAAATGAGAATATTATTAAAAAAAATGAATGTAGTAACATTTAAAAACCTAACATAACATTGTCAGGATAAGGTGAACACATACCTTTGGGGAATGGGTTGTTTTGGGCTTGGAGTCGAATTTTAACAACATCGAAGGGTGTCACTATGAAGATACATAAAATCTCAATTAACAAGTGATACCTGTAATTTGTATAGATGTTTGTCCAAAGAACACAAAATACACTACATGATACCTATATAATGGTTAAAACTATTTATCATAAAGTGGTTTTAAGTGTTAACATTCTAATTTTTTGCACTTGAATTTTGTTTAAAGAGGACCAATGAGAAAATGTAGTTATTTCTTTCACAGGTACTAAACTCTCATTTATACTATTTCTACAGCTATAATTCCATTAACATTAAAGCTAAAATACTAGTATTTGTAAGAAAATATGTTATCTAAGATAAAAAATGTTCCAAAAGACCACTTAAATATCTGAAGATAACTATGTATTACAAGTAATTAATAAATACTATAAGTTTCCCTATACTAAATTAAAGTCTCCTGCTGTTAAATTCACCTGTATCAAATAAAAACCACAGGTATTGCAAATTTGAGTAAGCTAGCCATAACTCATTCTTGCTACCATATTGTGTTACTCTAATTGGGAAAAGTGCAGCAAAGGAAAATGGGCATTATGATCTGAAGTAAAATACTACATCCTACAGCAATTAGTTTACATTTGTTTTAACCATCTTGGGCTTCCTGGTGGCTCAGACTGTAAAGAATCTGCCTGCAATGCAGGGGACCTGGGTTCAACCCCGGGGTCAAGAAGATCCCATGGAAAAGGAAATGGCAACCCACTCCAATATTCCTGCCTGGAGAATTCTATAGATAGAGAAGCCTGGTGGACTACACTCCATGGGATCGCAAAGAGTCAGACATGACTGAGACGAACACCTGCCATCTTATTTAAATAAACTAGCCAACTCATTAAAATGTTAAACTGTCACCGACTGTGTCATTTGGCTGAGTCTATAAGAAATTCGACTTCCCTGGTGGCTCAGACGGTAAAGCATCTGTCTACAATGCGGGAAACCCAGGTTCGATCCCTGGGTGGGGAAGATCTCCTGGAGAAGGAAATGGCAACCCACTCCAGTATTCTTGCCTGGAAAATCCCACGGTCGGAGGAGCCTGGTGGGCTACAGTCCACAGGGTCGCAAAGAGTCGGACACGACTGAGCGACTTCACTTCACTTCATAAGAAATTCATTTAAAAAGACAGAGAAATATAGTCCAGAGAAATTTAAGCAATTCACCAAAAGCAAAGTAAAAGATAATCTGAATTTGTTGCTACTGTAATTTGCCCAACTTCTGTGTTTTTCATTATGCTAATATTTAACCCCATATTTTTACTGTTTTTAAAAAAGATAATAGTCATAAAAGTTTGATATTGACAGCAACCTCAAAGAACTTCAGATCTAAGCCCCTAAATTTACACAGGAAAAATTAGGTTCAGAGAGAATAAGGACAATCCCAAAGTACATTCATCCTGAGAACAGCAAAGCAAAGACTAAAATTCTAGTCTCTTGATTCTCTGTCCAGGGCTCTTTCCTGTTATTATGAAGAAGCATGAATGATAATATTATCAGTATTTCAGAGTTAAACTCAAGTGGGATCAATAATTCATTCAGATATATAATCTACATCCTAACGTTATTTTACCCATCAGTGATGTCAGTATAGCTCCAGTGCAAGAGGCAAACATTTGCTGAAGCGGTGTCACTGTGATAACTGGTGCTCCCTCTGATGCAGGATCCATATCTTTAACTAACAGCAGCAAAATCTGTTAAAGAAAAGCAAGATGTAAACTAAAAGTGTAACAGAAGATGCCTTCAAAACTAACTGCTAAAAGTTAAACTATAAAAACTAAAACCAGTATTACTATCAAAACACATGTTGTTGACCAGCAAAAGTATACACAGAAGTTCTATACGCAAAGGCACTACATAATTGTCATTAATAGAACATGTTCTCAGATGTTCCAAAAGTGGTATTGTACTTCAAGCTAAGCTATGTGAGCAGCATCACATTTGCAAGACAAATCAATAGAGCATTAAGAAAACAGCCTCTGGCCATGCAACAGAATGAATGCAGTTGAACAGTAAGATTCAAAATCAGAATTTGGCCTCATAAGAACCACTCAGATACTTGAATCTATTAGAGTTATCAGCAAATATAGCACTATTTTTATTGCACTGCAAACACTGCTGCAGAAATACAAAATAAATCAAAAGCATAACCTTCATAAAAAGCATTACTTTAGAAATTAGATAGTGAGAAAAGCAACATATACTCTTTCTGAAAAACTCAACACGAGCATAAAAATCACTTATAAACTTCTTATTAAAATAACCACCGGCAACATACAGTATAATCTTTCCAAAGGTCTATGTACACAAAAACACAAATATGGAGGCAGATTATATCTAACCAGATATGTACAAACATTCACGTATCTATACATGCGTCTTTTTTGAAAGACAAAATAGATTAACACCATTCATAACTTTTAGTAGCCAGCTTTGATGCTTAAAAATATAGATGTGTTAATAAATACAGATTGACATTATAATTTTTAATGTTTACATGGTTTTCAATTATATTTATTTAGTCAGCCTCTTAGATATTCAGGTTATTGCCAATTTATTAATTCTTTAATTTCATAAACTCTCACATAAATATCTTTATACACACATCTTATTGTAGTATCTTTACAATTACTATAGGAGAAAAAGTAAGACTGCTGGGATAAGCTAAAAAGCTGAGAAAAATTACCAATGTTTTCCAGAAATACTGGACCAATATATATTTCTATGGAATATATGAGTTATTGTTAGCCCATAAATTCACCACTCTCTCATACTACATATCACTTATTTTTTCTGACCCATTTGAAAGTAGACTGCATACATCATATCCCCTTCATTCTAAACACCTCAGAATATTTTCATATAATTGAAGTACAATTACCAAATTTAGGAAACTTAATGCTGACAGTATTCTAAAGTTCATTTTCCAATTCTGTCAATTATCCCAATTACGACCTTTATAAAAATGAATGCCTCTATTGTTTCTTTAGGCTTTTATTATTTACTTACCTGATTTAAGTCTTTTCCTCAACTCTATGTTCCAATATTTTATTGTTTGTAACATCAGTATCTGAAAATCTGTAGTGAAAAAAGAAAGAAACAGTCTTATCTTTTCACACAGGAAAGGGATAGCAAGCCTAAAGGAAAGGAGTATATAAAACACTTTAAAACATAAATCAACTAATACTTATTATTATTTATTAAATATTTTTATTAAGTATTTTGCAGAATATGAAGAGCACTCCAGAAATATTATTATAGAGTTATGAAAGTATTATCACCCAAAAATCTTCATATTATCCCAGCAAATATACTCTACTTTAAAACCGGACAATTCTAAACCTGAACCTACTGACCCATCTTAGTATCAACAGGAACAACCAGATTTTGTGGCCCTTGGAGGAAATTCAGACTGAAGTAACATGGTAAAGGTTGCCATACCACAACACAGGAGAAGGTAACGCTCCGGTCTACAGGGCTAAGGCCTCAACTTCTTCAAGTGAAAGTAAGGTGGGAAAAAGGTGGCAGGGAGGTACACTGCTCTAGAATAAAGGAGTCCACTCAAATGCATCCTGGCTTAAATAAGAGAACTCTAAAAAGCCAGTTTGAAAGTAACTAAAGAAATGTGAATGTGGGTTGGATATCAGATATTTATACATTATTCTTCATTTTGTTTGGTCAGATAATGTTATTGTGCTTACATAAGGGGTCTTTTGGAATGACCTTGTTTGCTGCCCGCTGTACAATATTACAGACTTCTATCTATAGTTCTTCAGGCACTCTTGTTTACTAGATCTGATTTCTTGAATCTATTTGTCAAATTTCCTCTTCTTCAACAAACAATGCAAAGAAATAGAGGAAAACAACAGAAAGGGAAAGACTAGAGATCTCTTTAAGAAAATCAGAAATAAAAAGAAACATTTCATCCAAAGATGGGCACAATAAAAGACAGAAACGGTCAAGACCTAAGAGAAGCAGAGGAGATCAAGAAGAGATGTACAGAAGAACTATACAAAAACTATCCTGGTCTCAATGACCAGGATAACCACGATGGTATGGTCACTCACCCAGAGCCAGACACTGTAGAGTGTGAAGTCAAGTGGGCCTCAGAAAGTAATGCTATCAATAAGGTTAGTGGAGGTGATGGAATTCCAGCAAAGCTATTTAAAATCCTAAAAGATAATGCTAACAAAGTGCTGCACTCAATATATCAGCAAATTTGGAAAACACAGCAGTGGCCACAGGACTGGAAAAGGTTGATCCTCATCCCAATTCCCAAGAAGGGTAGTACTAAAGAATGTTCAAACCACCAGACAATTACTCATCTCCCATGCAATTAAGGTTATGCTCAAAATCCTCCAAGCTAGACTTTAGCATCACGTGAACTGAGAACTTCCAGGCATAAAAGCTGGATTTAGAAAACGCAGAGGAAGCAGAGATCAAATTGCCAACATTCTCTGGATCACGGAGAAAGCAAGGGAATTCCAGAAAAACATCTACCTCTGTTTCATTGACTATGCTAAAGTCTTTGACTGTGTGGATCACAACAAACTGTGGAAAGCTCTTAAAGAGATGGGAATACAAAGAGCATCTTACCTGTCTCCTGAGAAACCTGTATGTGGGTCATGATGCAACAGTTAGAACTTTGTATGGAACGACTGACTGGTTCAGGAATGAGAAAGGAGTACAACAAGGCTGTTGGTTATTGTCACCCTGTTTATTTAACTTATATGCAGAGCACATCATGAGAAATGCCAGGTTGGGTGAGTTACAAGCTGGAATCAAGATTACCAGAAATAACAACAATCTCAGATATGCAGATGATTCCACTCTAATGAGAGAAAGCAAAGAAGAACTTAAGAACCTCTTCATGAGGGTGAAAGAGGAGAGTGAAAAAGCCAGCTTACAACTAAATATTAAAAAAAAAAAAAAAACCTAAGATCATGGCATCTGGTTCAATCACTTCATGGTAAATAGAAGGGGAAAAGGTGGAAGCAGTGACAGATTGCCTCTTCTTGGGCTCTAAAACCACTGCAGATGGTGACTGCAGCTGTGAAATTAGAAGACAACTGCTTCTTGGCAGAAAAGCTATAACAAACCTGTGTTTAAAAGCAAAGACATCACTTTGCAGACAAAGGTCCATGTAGTCAAAGCTATGGTCTTTCCAATAGTCACATATGGTTGTGAAAACTGGACCATAAAGAAAGCAGAGCATTGAAGAATTGATGCTTTTGAACTGTGGTGCTGGAGAAGACTCTTGAGAGTCTCTTGGACAGCAAGGTCAAACCAGTCAATCCTAAAGGAAATCAACCCTGAATATTCGTTGGAAGGAATGATTCTGAAGCTGAAGCTCCAATACTTTGGCCACCTGATGCAGAGAGCCGACTCATTGGAAAAGACCCTGATGCTGGGAAAGACTGAGAGCAGGAGAAGAGAGAGACAGAGGATGAGATAGTTGGGTGGACGATGGACGGACTCAGTGGATGGACCCAGTGGACATGAGTTTAAGTAAACTCCTGGAGATAGTGAAGGACAGGGAAGCCTGGCATGCTGCAGTCCATGGGCATGCAAAGTTGGACAGGACTGAGCGACTGAACAAGAAGTATCAAGTGAGAACCTTGGGATTCTGATTCCATCTGCCTGAGGATTAGTCACGCTCAGTGTCCTTTTCACATACTGTTGGTCATTTGTACCTCAACTTTGAACAATGTCTATTAAATGTCTTCTATCCATTTTTAAATCAAATTATCTGTTTTTTAAGCTGTAGGTACTTCATGAATATTTTGGATACTAGACCCTTAATAGATATATCGTTTGTAAATATTTTTCTCCCATTCCATAGACTGTCCTTTTACTATAGTTTTCTGCCTTTGGTGTACAGAAACTTTTCAGTTTAACATACTTTCATTTTTACTGTTGTGTTTCTCGTGTCACATCCAAGAAATCAATGCCAAGATAAATGCTATGAAGCTGCTATCCTGTTTTCTTCTAGGAGTTTTTATAATTTGGGGCCTCACACTTAAATCCTAATCCATTCTGAGTTGATTACGTACATGGTATAAGAAAAAGGTCAAAGTTCTTAATGTAGCCAAATTTATTGATCTTTTTCTTTATAGATAACACTTTTTTGTGCTTTCTTCAAACAATCTTTCCGTATTCCAAAGTCCAAAACATATTCATCTATATTTCTCCTCTAAAAGTTTTAAACTTTTGCTACCACCAAATTTTAAGTCTTTAATCCATGACTGACTAAACTTTCACTTTCAATCCATGCAGAAGTATTTTAATAGCATGTGAATCAGTGATCCAATTTCATCTTATTCCACGATAAAATAGATAGTCACTTTACCCAGCTCCAAATATTAAATCTCTCTGGGACCTCCCCAGTGGTCCAGTGGTTAAGATGTTGTCTTCCAATGCAGGGGGTACAGGTTCAATCCCTGGTCAGGAAGCAAGGATCCCCTAGGCCTCAGGGCCAAAACACCAAACAATAAAAGCAATATTGTAACAAATACCAAAAAGACTTTAAAAATGGTCCATGTCAAAAAAAAAAAAAATTAAAAAAAAATATTAACTCCCTCCTTTCTCCTTTAAACTGACATACTACTTGGTCAAAACTAAGACAGAGGTTCATGACACTGTACAGGAAACAGGGATTAAGAACATCCCCATGGAAAAGAAATGCAAAAAAGCAAAATGGCTGTCTAAGGAGGCCTTACAAATAGCTGCGATAAGAAGAGAAACTAAAAGCAAAGGAGAAAAGGAAAGATATTCCCATTTGAATGCAGAGTTACAAAGAATAGCAAGGAGAGATAAGAAAGCCTTCCTCAGCAATCAATGCAAAGAAATAGAGGAAAACAACAGAATGGGAAAGATAAGAGATCTCTTCAAGAAAATTAGAGATACCATGAAAAGATGGGCTCGATAAAGGACAGAAATGGTATGGACCTAACAGAAGCAGAAGATATTAAGAAGAGGTCGCAAGAATACACAGAAGAACTGTACAAAAAAGATCTTCACGACCCAGATAATCA